GTGTAAGAAAAGGCCCAATTCCCTGCCAATGATTTAAAAGCAGCATGTGCCAGAAATGAAGGTGTTTGTGATCAAGTTTATTGTGCGTAGGTTGCAAAGCGCAGGCAAACTTTACCTAACATTAAAGGGTGCAGTGGCTCCGTAGGATACGCACAGGACTGTGAGCCACAAGGTCGGTGGTATGAGGCTTTCTGCTCCCACAAAGATTGACAGCCTAGGAAACCCTATACAGGGGATGCTGTGAGTCAACGGTACTTAACAACAACAACAATGAAGGGCAAACAGGAGTTGTTCTTAACCAGGAACTAACTGCCTGTGTGCTCAAGATAGTAAATGAGATGTTCTTAAACCCACACTTCTTGATTCTCAGACATATGCTTGGTTCTGAGACATATTATTTGCAGCTTTGCTGGCACTTCTAAAATCCAGGTTCATTTATGTTGATTTATTCCAGATTAACTGGCTATGTTGGTTGGTCACTGATTGTTGTCCTCACAATTGAGGAAGTCTAGTACAGTGCTTATTTAGAATCAGTCATTTTTAATGTCTTTAAAGAGGACTTGTTTTGAAGGATCGTAGTCTTGGTGTGGCGCTGTAGGATAAAGCACTGGACCGCAAGGTCAGTTTGAACTTCAAGGTCAGCAGTCAGACTCACCAGCTGTACCTCCAAGACCCTATCCTATGAGTCGGAACCAACTCGATGGCGCTGAACAACAGCAACATGCGGAAACCAAGTGTCTTCATGCTTTTGGGGTTTATTGCCCTTCCTAAGTGCCATGTTTTAGACACAGCTAAACATTAGGCTGAGGTATTCTAAAAAGAGGGAAACAGATGGTATGAGATCTGTTTCCTCAGGAGTTAACTCTGAAATTAAGAGCATTTCCACAAGCCATTTTGAGTATGTTTGCTGTCTTCCTGGTTGAATGAAAAGGAAGAGAACAGATCGTGTAATATTTCCCTTGGAATATTATTCTTGTGCTCCGCTCTCCTTCAGAGCTACCTGTGAGGAAAACCTAGTTAGCAATAAAAATGAACTGAAGGGTGAACATTTTTTGTGAACTTTGCAGTCAGTCAACTGCATACCATGACTTACTGTACCTGGGAAATCAGGTCTCCTACATTTGGGCACCTTCTTTTAGCAAGAAGAGTCCATGTTGTTCAGCATTTCTGCTTTCTCATAAAATTTACTTTTTTACTGGGTCCATATGACATGCCAAAGAAAAATGAATTCTTCTTAAAAGTAAAAATTCTAATCAAGGCAGCTGTCAAAATAGCAGTGCCTGCTGTAAGAGTGTGTACCTGACCTACACTTCTGTCTAGAATGTTCTCTGACCTTCAGAAAAGGCCCATCTTCCACATCACTGGGGAGTGAGAGATAGTCTAGAGATGTAGTCAGCAGGATTAAATCAGGGACTCCTGATGTGGTGCTGTAGGATATGGATGAAAACTGCTAATCACAAGGTCGGCGGTTCAAACTCACCAGCCACTCCTTGGAAACCCTATACAGGGTTACTATGAGTCAGAGCTGATTCAATGGAACACAACAGCAACATTATTTATAAGCTAGAGTAAGTAAGTAATTGGAGTCCTGGTCTGCTCTCTAGGATAAGCACTGGACTACTAACTACAGGATCTGAGTTCAAATCCACCAGCCACTCCTCAGAAACCCTATATAGGGTTTCTATGAGTTGGCACAGGAAGACAGAGTAAGGTCATTTAGTTAGTGTAACAGACTAGTGACGATTGGGAAAATAGAATCTCATCTTCGTTGGCTGTTTTTGCTCTAAGTGTTTAAAAGCTTTTTGGTTTCAGAATATACCTCACATCTGAATGGCAGACGAGTGGAAACTGTAGATTTGAGCACTTCATCTAAGGATGCTGAAGCCATGCACAGTTTTAGAGGGTGGTACATTCAAGAAGTTCGGCCCCTGGGCTCTAGCCCAGCTAGGGTGCTGAGCCTCTGAGTCCACAGTGCAGGACAGCACTGCCCCCTGGTGGAAATCAGTGTGCTTGACATTGCATCCCTCACTTGCTGGGGTCAGAATTGGGTTAAGCTGTTTCCAAAATGTGGCTGACCCTTAATTTAAGAAATTGCTCTGTGTCTTAAGACCCTCTTTTTGGACTTCCCAGCTCTATTCGATTTCTTTTATGTTGGCCTTGGTGATCATTCTATAAAAATCCTCCCTGATGCATAGCTCTGTACCCAGGCTTTAAGACATGTGGTACCCGGCGAGGGTATTGTCCAAGCAGTCTCTGTGACTTGGAGCACCTCTTCATATGGCCAGTTCTTTTTAGGGAGTGAAAAAAACAACAAGGCCAGCTCAGAAATTCTGTTGAAACAGTGTAAGAAAAAGCAAGTAAAAAATTGTGACTAACAGGGCCATTTCTTCTGTATTCCTGTATGATTCAGATCAATTACCATTTGAATCTGCATCTGATTCTAAAGTCTTATTTCTGGTTCAAACTCAGCCCCAGATAAAGTTGATTTGGGGTAAATGGTAGCTCTCACTACAGGTCACCACTTTGGTTGGTCTAATCACAGGTATGGTAAGCAGTAGACCTCAAGGTTGGTTTGAATTGCAAGATCAGTGGTTCAAATTCACCAGCTGCTCCTCAGAAACCCTATACAGGGGACACTATGAGTTGGAACTGACTCAGTGGCGCTTAACAACACCACCACCCTGGATTGTGTTCACTCCAACAATTATATCACTCTATTTCTCTCTTTCATTGTCTCAACTTACCAAACCCACCTTCCCGAACAAAGTAAGGCCTAAGGCCTTGGCTTATAAAGGCGATGCAATTAGCATTTTAGAAAATGTCTTTCTTTCCTCTGGGAGATTTCATTACCCTCCCCCCCCCAAAAAAAAGAAAGAAATCTGAAAGCATTTGACCTAGCATGAGCCGCGTTATGTACCCTCACTAAAAAGAGATGTCGCTCACTGGGTGAAGATCATGTAATGCCCTAACACAGAACCTCACAGCCACCGTTTCAAAAGCAAAAAGCACACTTGGAAGAAAAAAACACATCATGGTGCTTGAATCGTATCCTAAAAAGTAATTTTGTAGCATTCAAACACTTCTTGCAGTTCTTAAGAAGTCATTCCGTAGGAGGAACATGTATTACAATCGTCATGATGTCATGCTAGTTCGTTTCTTATATGGTAATAATGAAGCCTTGGCTACAGTGGCCTAGGGAAGGCATTTTGGGGTGCAGATTCTGTTTGCATCCCATGATTGGTCTCAAGAAAATTCCATCAGCTCTCTGTTCTTCATTTTCCTGATCTACATTCAAAATGTCCTCCTCTCTGGAGTATTAAGACAGTTATCTAAATCCTGAGTGTTGATTTATTTTTGCTCCTGGGAGAAAGACATTACAGGGGTTTTTATTACACAGTCATGCACCACAGAAAGTCCTTTAGGATGTTTTATGACTGCATATACCGATGCGATCCCAAACTCCATAAAACCTATTACATTAAATTTTTGAGGTACTTAACAATGGCTCAGAATAACAAATGGGCAATACTCTGTGAGCATCAAAATACGATTTCTGGATTGTTAGCAATGTTTTAGTGTATCTGGAAGTCTTTCATTCATGTTTTTTATGTGTAGAAAGATGCACTAAAGACATACTAAGTTTGATTGATATAGCTACAAATCATACTTAACTGTTAAGATTTACAAAGAAACTCAATTTACAGACAGATTTAGGAAAAGAACTTATTCGGAATCCAGGAACCGCCTATATATAACCCACTGTCCACACAAAGTCCACTTTTGTATAACATCCTATTTCTTAGACTGTATTGTGGACATTAAGTGGTGCATGACTCTTCTGCCATCTTTCTTTGTCATCTAGATGGAGACTGTAATAACATCTTTGCATCCCTGTATGAATTTCTGCTCCTGCGTTACCATTTTATAATATCTCTAATTTCATACCAGACTGCATTTTATGTTAGTACTAAATTGATACTGCAGCAACATGAAGACATCAGTTCTTATTTAAATTATGTGTGATTCAGCTACATTTAAATGACAGACTCTTAAAGTCCTTTCCTTTTCTTAAAACATTTCTTTCAGAAGTAGTGGCTGTTTTGCTTTCCATTACAGCAGTTAGAATGTTGTTGGCCACACAGTCAGCTCTTGATTATACCAGTCTGTAGCTTTTGACTTAACACCTACATAATGCCACTAAGTACCATGCACTATTCCAAGGGCTTCACAAATATTAACGCTTTTAATTTTCACCACAACCTTTTGAGATAGATTACTGTTATCAGGCCCATTTTACAGATGAGGAAACTGAAGTCTGACTGGTCGAGTAACTTGCCCAAGGTCACTTGGATAGAAAGTGGCGGAACAGGCTTCAGGGACCAGCAGCCTGACCCTGGGGCTCATCCTGCTGCTGTTTCAACATGGGAAGCTGTAGAAGTCTCAACTGCCTTCTCCACTCCATTTCTTCACGTCCTGATAGCGGAACCAGGCACTGTAGCTGAGCTGATGGATTTCTGCCTAGATGCACACTTCAGCTCCACGGTCTGCTGTCTGTGTGAATTTAGACAATTGCTTAACCTTTCTATGTCCTGTTTCCTCATCTGTAAAAAAAAGGGCTTAATAATGTCCATACCTCACGGGGCTATTGAGGGATCAGATGAGACAAGAACACATGTAACGTTCATCAAATTGTAGCTAACACATCTCAGCAGTGGGTGCCCATTTGTGGTGATCCCATGTGTTACAGAGTACAACTGCTCCGTAGCCAGCACATAATTAATGTGTGCTGGTATTATGTCCTTTTCAGAGATGAAAAGAGTTATAATTGAATAGAAACATTACTAATATCCATACACACACACATACGCAAAGGGAAATGGGGTGACACAGGCCCAAAGTAGGCCTTCTCTGCATAATCAAAAGTTGACTGTGGCTACCCTGCCCACCAGCCCTTCTATCTGATGCTATTTGGCAGTAATTGTGTCTTATAATTCCTGCAGGTTACGGTCATTCAGACGCGGATGTTCTTCACCAGTCCTTACTAGAAGCCAACATTGCTACTGAGGTTTGCCTTACGGCTCTCGACACACTCTCTCTGTTTACGTTGGCATTTAAGGTTCGTATGGAACAAGCTATGAATGGTCTGATTTTTGCCTTTTACATTTATTTTGCTTATTTAATTCAACCAGCAAGAGGAACGTAACCATGTTGTAGTTTTCTTAGCAACTGCTTAGCCCATATAAGGAAGCTATTAATCCGTAAACACCTTTAATGAAATCATTTCATAGATAGTGATTTGAAGGTCCTGAAATATAATGACGCTTAACTGGTGAAGTCCTGGTGTGGCACTGTAGGATAAGCACTGGACTGCTAACCACAAGGTTGATGGTTCAAGCCCACCATCTGCTCCTTGGAAACCCTATACAGGGTCATCAACTGACTGAAAGACACTTAACAACAACTGGTTGGTGTGTGTTGCGTCCTTGGAAGTGATGGAAACATGTCTCGGGAGGCTGTGAACTCTTCACTAAGAGGCAGTATTTACCAAGAGACAAATGGGAGGGTTCAGATAGAACATCTTTAAACAAATGCATGTGTTGTAACACTTGAAATTAAATATCTACATAGAAAGGAACAGTAAGTCCAAATACTTTCCTGTTTAATTTTTTTCTGCTCCTAAATTAAATGGAAAAAACATTTCAGGGTTAGAAAGTAGAATATTTTTTGTCTTGTTGAGTTTGGGAAAGTGGTGTTCAAGTAGGTATGGATGGCTTCTTTGGCTGATGTCTCATTTTCGGAACCCTAACCCTTTCCATTCTTGCTAAATGACTACCTACAATTCCAGGATAGAAAGGGGAAATTGCATTAGTGGTCCTTTAATTAGTATGTTTAATCCTGAGAATATTTTGGAAAACTAACAGCATTCTCTGCTTTCCTGTTCTCTAAAGTGAGCTCTTTAGCAGAGTAAAGCGGATTGCCCCGACATCATGTCACTTCACCTGTGCCCTTCATGGAGCCTGGTGACATAGGGCTGCTAACTACAAGGTCAACAGTTTGAACCCACTAGCCGCTCTGTAGGAGAAAGCTGAGACTTTCTGCTCCCAGAAAGATTTATAGCCTCGGAAACTCTATATAGCGTCGCTATGAGTTAAAGCCACTTAACAGCATACAGCACATCGCCTTCTCAGCAGCCCTGCCACTCCTGCCTCTCTGAAACATAACTAGGAACCCACTTGGCAGGTGGGGAAATGAAGACCCACATACAGGGAGTATGGGCACCACGGTGGTTTCTTACCAGGAGCCTCTACTAGGCTTCTCCAAGTGTAATCTCCGGCAGTAGCCGCGGCTCCTGAAAACTAGTTAGAAATGCAAATTCTCAGTCCCCACCCCAGCCCTACACACTGTGCCACTCTGGGGCTGAGACCCAGATGCTCTGTTTGGAGAACCATGCTTGGAACCCCTTCCAATCTTCTTTAGAATCTTTCTAGCTAAAAATTCTTTTGCAAACAGTGAAGTATTTGAATATGAACACACTGCTATCAGGGGGGCCTGGTGGCACCGTGTGTTCAGCATTGGGCTCCTAACTAAAAAGTCAGCAGTTCAAATCCATCAGCTCCTCCAAGGAAGCAAGATGAGAAACCCTTTGGGGCAGCTCTGCTCTGTCCTCTAGGGTCGCTTTAAGCCAGAATCCGTTGATGGGTTTGGGTTTAGTTTTGGTTTCGGTTTCATACCTATATCAGTGAGTCCTGGTGTAGCATTGTGGATTCATTAACTGGACGGCAAAGTCGCGTTGAACCATAAGGTCGGTAGTTCAAGCTCACCAGCCGCTCCTGGGAAACCCTATACAGGGTCGCCATGGGTCAGAACCAACTGGATGGCACTTAACAAGTTCAGAACAGTGGTGAGAACATTTCTCCCACACTGCCTGTTCCTCGCCAGCCAGGTAAATAAGGACAGGACAGAGGAGGTACTGACACGTGGGGTGGAGAACCAGTGGTGTCCTGTAGTTCTTACTTTACCCCTTTAGGGTCCTGGCCTGATAGGGAGATAACAGTGTTTGCCAAGGCTCCCAGATCTCCCCGGGTCTGGTCAGCAGATTGGGTTGGACTCCCAAGAAAAACAAGGTGGTTTCTAATAAAAGCTCATTTATTGTCTGACTGTCCTTGGGAATGTCACTTACTATCTCTGAGTTTAGTGGTGTTGTTGCTGTGTGGAGTTGGTTCCAACTCATAGAGACCCTGTTCAGGGTTTCTGAGGCTGTAAATCTTTACGGGAACAGAAAGCCTCATCTTTCTCCTGCAGAAGAGCTGGTAGTTTCTAACTGCTGACCGTGAGATTAGCAGCCCGATTCACAACCACTATGCTACCAGAGCTCTTGATCTCTGAGTTTAAGATTCCTCATTTGTAAGACTGGAAAATGTAATGCTGTTGGGAGCTTTAAATGAGGTAATTCTTGAAAGGGCCAGCCAGATTGCAGACATCAGAGTCCCGTACATCTGGAGGATGATGTGTGGAGCTGGCATTGCCAGCTTCATCGTCAGCCAGGTGTTCAGCCTTGGGCTGGCTCTGCATGATCTCTTGAAGTCCTGATTACCTTACTTAGAACCTGTGATTGTGCTGACCCTGTAAGGTTGTTGAAGGAGCTTTGGTAGCATAGTGGTTATGAATCTGGCTGCGAACCGCAAGGTCAGCAGTGTGAAACTACCAGCTGTTCCACGGTAGAAAGATGAGCCTTTCTGCTCCCATAAAAATTTGCAGCCTCGGAAACCCTGTACAGGGTCGCTATGAATGGGAACCGACTCCACAGCACATTACCACCATAAGGTTATTGTGTGAATAGAGTCCTAGTGTGATGCTGGTGTGACCTTGCTAACCACAAGGTCAGAGGTTCAAACCCATCAGCTACTCCTCAAAAAGCCTGTACAAGGTTGTTATGAGTCAGAACTAACTTGATGACATTTAACAACGACCTGCAAAAAATAAATAAATAAATCCCACCTACCCCATGTCTAGCACATAATAGGCATTCGATTGTAGATTTTATCTTAGCAATCACCACTCACCTGTGTCCATGCCTCCCTGGGCCTGTGACCTCCTGAGACAGTAAGAGAGGTTTATAGCTCTAGAGCTGAGGTGATCTCGTGTTCCGTTCTGTATACAGAAGAGGAGCCCGGGTCATGCAGTGGTGAAGCACTTGGCTGCTAATCAAAAGGTTGACAGTTCAAATCCAACAGCAGCTCTGTGGGAGCAAAGATAAGGCAGTGTGCTTCTATAAAGATGTATAGCTTTGAAAAATGATGTGGGCAGTTCTAGTTTATTCTCTAGGGTCACTATTGGTCAGAATTGAAGTGGTAGCTGTAGGCTTAGGGTTTGATGCTCTGCACCTTATAAAGAAGCAGGGATGTAGGGAAACTGTTAGGGTGCACTCAGGCATTAACGGTACCCTACCAAGCGGTAGGCCCACCTGGCCTGGATCCACAGTGGATGAGACACAGCGGTTCAGCAACAACAGGGCTCATCCTTGGCATATATGTACTGTGCAGAGGCACCCATTGGAGGTTACCGGGAAAACAAAATCATGACCTTAAGTTTGCTGTCATCATGCTGTTTAGAAAAGTTATCTTCCACAGATCGAGCCCTGTCATTACGGACTTTCTCAGTTGACACCACATCTGTTAAGTTGCCAGGGCAACCAAGAAAACAGTTTCGTAATAGGATGCTTTGGTTTTGTTTGTTAAGTGCTGTTAAGTCAGTTCTGACTCATGGCAGCCCTATGTACAATAGAACGAAACACTGCCCAGTCCTGATAGGATGCAATCCTGGAAGAGATTTAATCCCTGCATTTCCTCTTCTGTTATTACTTATTATATTAGCTTCCTGCTATTTATTGAGTGCCTTCTGGGATCAGGCAATGATTTTCACAACGACCTTACTTTTTGTTGTTAAATGCGGCATTTAGTCAGGTCGGTTCCAATCAGTTCCCACTCATAGCAACCTTCTATAGGGTTTCTGAGGAGCTGCTGGTGAGTTTGAACCACCAACACTGAAGTTTAAACAAACTTTGTGGTCCAGTGAATTATCCTGCAGCGCTACACCAGGAGTCCAACCTGTGTAGTGTCTAAGTCCCCATTATGCAGATGAGGAAAACTGAGGCTGAGACAGGTTAGGAAATCTCTAAACTTCTAGACAACTGACCTTGTTCTTCACTAAGCAGCCATGTCTGTGTTGTGTGGTTGGGGGGGGGGAAGGAGAGTGTTCAGTTTAGTGAATATAAAGGTGATGGAATGATCAGTGTCTCGTTAAGAGGAAACAGTATCCAAGGTTATATATCTGATGCCACGTACTATGCTGGCTACTGTTGGTTATTTAGTATATAAAAGGCCATGTTTTATAAACTTAGGATAGATCGCATGAAGAAAAATAGTTATTTGACTGTTGGTTACGAATCGGGCTGCGAACTGCAAGGTCAGCAGTTCAAAACTACCAGCTGTTCCGTGGGAGAAACATGAGGCTTTCTGCTCCCATAAAGATTTACAGCCTCAGAAACCCTGTACAGGGTCGCTATGAGTCAGAACCAACTCCACGGCACATCACAACAACACAACTGTTAACACAATCCCAAAGCAATGTTGGCCTTTAAATATTTTGTATGATTGTTCATGTGTTCGCTGATTTAACCTAAACATGTATTGGTAGCATTTCCTGTTCTCAGTGTGGTCTGTATTATGAGACAAATCCATAATCAGTAAGGAACGATGTAAATTAAAAAGCTGGGTAGCATATGGGTCATTGGAGTGAGAACCGTTGCTAGGAAGTGTGGAATCTGGTTTATAAACAGTGCAGCCCATCTGCACGACACGTTAGGGTTCAGTCAACTTAGTGATGGGTAAACATCTGCAGCCGGGATAGCTTTTCTCTAACGTGAATATTTAAAGTCATTTTAAAATCAGAGCGTAAATAAAATTAAATGTCATATGTAGCGCTGTAGGATAATCACTCAACTGCAAGGTTGGTTTGAACCCCAAGGTCAGAGGTTCAAACTCACCAGCTGCTCTTCAGAAACCCAATACACAGGGTCTCTGTGAGTTGGAACCGACTTGACAGCACTTAACAACAATGGCCTAGTTAAAGACTTAGCTATTTTAAATAACATTGTTCCAAAGATCTCATTTGGGCACCTGAGGTGTACATTTCTCTTTTCCTGTGTTCCTGGGTTTTGAACACATGGGTGGGCTCATTCCCTAAAAGGCTGCAGTCCCTAGGTCAAGACCTTTAATAGACGTGTTGAAACAGACATACACACACACTTCATTCCTAGGGAGCGATTCGTGTCCTGTTCTCCATGTTATTGCTAGAAATAAATCATGCTTTTCATAATGATTCTAATGTCTCTTTCTGTTTGCTGAATGAACATATCCTATCTTGAAAAACAGAGACAGTGAAATAAAAGCATTGTGTTCTCTGCAGTTCATTCTTGGTTTTCCCTTGTAGACCCTGGTAGCACAGCGGGTTAAGTGTTGGGCTGCTAACTGCAGGGTCAGCAGTTCAAACCACCAGCCACTCCGTGGGAGAAAGATGAGCAATCCATAAAACTTACTCTGTGACATAGTTCCACTGTGCCCTCCAGGGGTCCCAAGAGTCAGAATGACTCGGTGGCAATGAATTAGACCTTTCTGAGTATTCAGTGTTGTGTGTTGTTTTGTTTTTTAATGGATATTCCTATTCGAACAGAGAGAGGGAAGGAATTGATTGGCAAACAAAGAAAGGCAGTGAGTAAAGTAGAGTGTGCCCAGGATGAACGGTCTATTCTGAAAGAGGGAACATTTTAAATAAGAGCGTATTTACAGTGTCACATGAATGAGCTTTCATTTCATTCTTGCCAAGTGGGTTTTGATGTCAGAACCCAGAAGGATTACATTTTGAAAACGAGAAGCAAAAACCCTGACCAGAGAGGGTGAGAGGAGGGAAAATTTACCTTAGGAAGTAAGAACAGGGAGACTGGGGCCAATTCCAACAGCAACATTGGACTCTTGGTAATTTTTGTGTGAATATTCTCTTCTGGACTCCATCAAAGGATGCTGGGAAAATAAATGTCCACTGTTAGAGTCACCCAAAACTTAACAGATAAAAGATTAGCATCGTGAAGGCTGTCGTTCATGACGACCTTGTGTGTGCTGTGCTCCAAAGGATTTTCAGTGGCTGGTGGCGGTTAAATGCTGTCGAGTAGGTTCTGACTCATAGCAACCCTGTGTAGGGTTTCTGAGGAGCAGCTGGTGGTTTGAACCGCTGACCTTGTGGTTAGTAATCTAGTGTTTATCCTGTAACATCACACCAGGACTCCATGGCTGGTAGTTCAGGGGTAAGCCACCAGGCCTTCCTCTCAAGAAGCCGCAGGGTGGACTTGAACCTCCCATCTTTAGGCTAGCAGCTGAGCAAGTTTAACATCTGCACCGCTCAGGGACCACAACCAAAGTGTAATCTAACGATAGTAACAAAAGTCAGCGTGAAAAGCTGTCTTTCCACGTGTGCTTTCTGGGAGAAGTAGTGTTTTAGACAGTAAGACCTAAGCAGCTCTCTAACATTAGAATTTTTTTGGGGGTGGGGGGTGGGTTTTGATGAACAGGTGCTTATGGCTAAGAATTATCTACCTTTAATAAAGTCACATTTTCTGCTCATGAAATTCCTGCTTTCACATGATGGAATTTAGTACCCCACATCACTGTTTCGTGACATTTCATAAAGATCACTGTGAATCCCACAGCTTCACCACCGTGAATATATGTGAGAACCACTGGACTTAAAAAAACAACTAAAACTTATTCCTTGAGTAAAAAAAAAAACCTCCAACTATAAGATGAGGTAACTCTTGCTCTGACAGTATTACTGTAGCCACAGTTTGTTATTTGACGCAATTACTTGGACATCAAGTTTTGTTTCTTTGTTCAGTTGCCCAAATTATAAAGTTGTTTTGAGATACCCTTAGACTCTTGACATTTTCTGTTCCCATCATCATTCCCTCCTGTGCAGAATGTACTTTCATGCTCTTTCCCAAACAACCCCTCTCATTTAAAGCAGGTTTGTGTGTATTTGACGCACATGGAGACAGGCTGGCTCCGTGCTGGTTTCTGGCTGTGCTATCCTCTGTAAACTCTGTATATTCAGCAATTAATGTAAAATTTCCACCAACCAGGCGTACAGAGTGTTTAATTAGTGTGACTTACTACTGAGGAAATCTCAACGAATTTAAGAAGCAGTAAAAAGTAAATAAATGGGAAGCATTTAATTGCCCTCTAGACTTCGTTCTCTGAAGTAAAATTCATGAAGTGTTTAAATACTAGCAGCTGCCACATACGGAGTTCGATTAAATATATGTCAGAAATTGTCTGTGATTTGTCTCAAGTTCATGCCTCAGTGTAGCTGTGCAGGGTCAGTGCCCCATTGTACAGTGGAGTCTCTGCTTATTAACCATGCATCAAAGTCTGTTTCCGAACATACCACACTACCTGCTTACTCAAAGATTGGAAGAGTGCCTTACCCACTGGTATTAAGTCAAGTCCAACTCATAGTGACCCTGAACAGGGTTTCCAAGACTTTACGGGAACAGAAAGCCTTATTTTTCTCTCATGGAGCAGTTGGTGGGTTTGAACTGCTGATCTTGCAGTAAACAGTCCACTTCTGATCCTACAGCACCACCTTAGCTAGCCTGAAACACAAAGTTTTTTGTGTTTCACCTCACCTTTTGAGTGTCTGCTTCTTATACTTCATTTCAGTATTTTCTCCCCACTCTTTAACTTGCTAACACCTGTCATGCTATGTTATCATTGGAGTTACGAAGATGCTGTAAACGTCACCTGTCAGCTGGTGGTGTGCAGGGAAAAATAAAGAAGGTTTAGCAGTCCTAAAGGACGGTACGGAGTCTTTAGAATGTTGTTGTTGTTGTTGAGTGCTGTCGAGTTGGTTCCAACTCATAGTGACCCTGTATAGGGTTTACAAGGAGCAGCTGGTGAGTTTGAACCACTGAGCTTGTGGTTCAAACCGACCTTATGGTCCAGTGTATTATCCCACTGTGCCACACCAGGACTCCAAGGTAGATGAGTGGACCCCTGGATACTTTCAATTATATTTGAGATTGCTGGGAAGTTTTATAATTAGTTCTTCCTCCCTTAATAGAGATTAACTCTGCAGAGCCATGAGTACTTAACACTGTGCCACTAATGAAAGGAAATCTGACCTAAGAACATTTCTCTACCAGAGCTGTGTAGCACCATCCTGTGGGCCCTCTGCTGAAAGGTCTCAAACAATGCCTTTTTAGTTGTATCCTCCAGTCTTCTAGATGTAGGACCGCCCTGTATCATCCCTCTGTGAATGTGAACTATCTTGTACCTGCTTTATGACATGTAATAGTAACTGTGCAATAGCAGAGCTGTTTTAATGATGGTATTCTAGGATGTTTTCTTTCCAGATGATGAGTGAGAAGCTAATTTTTAAAAAATGATGTCCGGAACCACAACAGTAACAGCACTTTGCTGGTTTCAGAGGTTTTGTTTGATGTTTTTCCTTCTCTTTCTAATGGAGCATGCTGCATGGCTCTGTGATTTTGTTCAGATGACGGCAGAACCTGGAAAACCTGTTGCACTCCATAACACTGCGATTGGTCTTTTTATATAAATATATATATACACACACACATATATAAACAGATATATATGTTGCTGGTATGTGCTGTGGAGTCAGTTCTGACTCATAGCAACCCTGTACAGGGTTTCTGAGGCTGTAAATCTTTACGGGAGCAGAAAGCCTCATCTTTCTCCTGTGG